TGAATGTTTGAACCTGTTGCATCATAAGGCCATAAGTGTGGCCATAGATTATGGCCCATGATGTAGGAACAAAACTAAAACTGCTCAGGGGCACTAGTAAATAAATATAAAGTGGCTTTTTTTTAGAGAGAACAGGCTCATAAAGTGAGGTTTGAAAGCCAGAAGTTTTAGCCTCAGGCCTCAACATCACAAAGGTTAACAACCCAATCAGCCTCGCTTGGATTTATTACCATCATATATTTAATGGGACAATAAAATAATATTTATTGTCTCTCTCTGCTTCTGTTTTTCATGTGACCGTCAGCCACAGTTTTTTGTCTCTGTGTTTCACAGACCGACCTTCCAGCTCTTCTCCTGGCACACCTGCCTGCTGGGCATCCTGAGCTGTTTAGTGATGATGTTCGTCATTAACCCCGTGTACTCCTCAGGCAGCATCGTCCTCCTGTTACTGCTGCTGCTTTTCCTCCACTACAGATCGCCCACCAGCAGCTGGGGCTACATCAGCCAGGCTCTCATTTTCCATCAGGTATCTTGACTCATCCAGACACACACACACACACACACACAAACAGACATGTGCCACAGTTTGTCAACAGTGCTGTTTGTCTTTTGGTTTAGGTGCGCAAGTATCTGTTGATGCTTGATGTGAGGAAGGACCACGTGAAGTTCTGGAGGCCGCAGGTGTTGTTAATGGTGGCCAACCCTCGCTCTTCCTGTCAGCTCATCCTGTTTGTCAACCAGCTGAAGAAGGGAGGACTGTATGTGTTGGGCCACGTGCAGCTGGGAGATCTGGGTAATTCTCTGCGGATGGTCTGCGATGGCCATCTGCACCTAACAGTATTAAATTACTCTTATCTTTGGATCATTGTGGAGGTTAGGTAGCCAAGTGAAAGTAACCTTCTCATGTGCCTGGAAGCCTTTCACTGATGTGTCGAATCAACATGGCATCATGTGATGCTTTTTTTAGTTCACTCAAAAAGCACATGAACAGGCTGAGCAGGAATTATAACAGAAGGTTACATATCATTAAAGCTGTGTAACAGCTCTGACCGACCTACCTGAAGTCCACTGGCACCATCATGGAAGACTACCTCGTGGGCTTTCACTTTCCATCTGCTGCTTCTCTTGCATTATTAATAATAGAATAAATTTCCTCTGTATCACTGTTGTATCACACCTGAGAGCTGTCTTTGAATTCAGCCACATGTCTAGCTCTTTGTTTATTTTGCTAAACAGATATATCCTTTCAAACTGTAAGAAAATGTGTTGCGTGTGCAGCACAAGGGTTCAGAGAGCAATGTGCTGACACTTTCTCTCATTCACTCACTCACTCACTCACTCACTCACTCACTCACAGTTTGCTTGTCTGCCCCCTGGTGACCATTAGGATACACTGCAAAGTGTATAAACAAGACATAACTTGCGTGCAGTGATGTTAACAAGCAACTGAGCTCAAGTACTGAACTTAAGTGAAAATTTGAGCTACCTTTGTTCCATCCAGTATTTTTTTCCTTCTACTTTATACTCCACTACATTTTACTGGTTAATATTTCACCTTTTACTTCACCACATTTGTTTGACAGCTGGAGTTAGTAGTTAATTTTCAGACTTTGGGCTCTGGGCTGCTTACAAAGAAGTCAAATTATACAATATTTAGTATAAAAATTTGTTAAGAATAGTCAACCACTGGATCCACTCGACAAAACTTAGTATATATAAAGTCTGCCACAACCAGCCACCACAGTTAAATGCTATTTATGTATTGATGCATCACTGTTAACAATCTAATAATGTTATAAATAATAAATCAGGCCCAGGGGACATTTGACTGCAGAACAAGTACTTTTTCTTTCAGTACATTTAACTGATAGCACATATGTTCTTCTACTTAGGTAAGATTTTAGATTCAGGACTTTCACTTGTAATGGAATCACATTATCTTGTGATTGCTTAAGTTAAAGACCTGAGTACTTCTTTCACCCCTCCTCTGAAATTCTGCTGAGATCTACATCTGTTAAATAAAGCCCTGTATTATATTACATTATTCAGTTTTATGCAGTGAATTCATTTCTGTCTTTCCTGTGTTTAGACTCCCTGCCATCAGACCCAGTCCAGCAGCAGTACAACTTCTGGTTGAGCCTAGTTGATAAACTCGATGTGAAAGCCTTTGTAGACCTGACGTTGTCTCCCTCTGTCAGACAGGGAACACAGCATCTCCTGCGCATCACAGGTCTAGGTAAGTTCTGATTTCTCTTATCCCTCTACATTCAGTAGATTATGATGTTACTTTATCTGAACTTCTGTCTCCTACAAGGTGGCATGAAGCCCAACATGCTGGTTTTGGGTTTCTATGACAGCTGCACTCCCGAGGACTTCTTCCTACAAGATTCTGCGTTCTGTAATTCTTCTGTGGGACAAGGGAGTGACGGCGAATATAATTTTGGAGTTGATTTGCCTTCATTACAGGCCCATTTCCCCCCAGTGCGACATGTTGAGAGCCCACGCTGGCTATCACCAGAGGAGTACATAGGGATCATTTCTGACGCCATTAAAATGAACAAGAACGTGTGCCTCGCCCGCTATTTCTTCCAGTTAGAGGGAGAGGATAAAGACAGCAAGGTGGATGGGTCTGAGCGGACAATAGATGTGTGGCCTCTCAACCTGCTCCAGCCAGGCAGCCGTGATTATGAGGACGTTTGCAGCCTCTTTCTGCTGCAGATGGCCTGCGTGCTCAACATGTCCAACAAGTGGCGCCATGCAAGAATGAGAATCTTTCTGAATGTGGAGACTGAGTCCAGCGACCAGGGTTGGGTGGTAAATGAAGAGACGTTCAGAGAGCTGCTGAGGAAGCTGAGGATCAGGGCGTCAATAAAGATTGTGCCGTGGGACTCTGTGGTGCAGCACCACACTCAGCCAGACGGGGAGCCCCCTGCAGGGCCGACACAAGCTCTGTCCGAGGACTTCCTGTACGCTGTGAACAGTATGTTGATGGAGCACAGCTCGCAAGCTGCTGTTCGCTTCCTGTATTTACCTCGACCCACCGCCCAGCGCAGCCTGGCGCAGCAGTACTTGGCTCAGTTGGAAGCAGTGACCAATAACTTAGGGCCAACGCTGCTGATTCACGGTGTCACCCCAGTCACATACACTGACCTGTGAGCATGTGCAGTCGTGAGTTTTGTCCATTGATACTGTAGGTGCAGCAAAGTCTCATCTGTGTAAATATAAACTCTAGTTACATGTACAAAGTTACACCGTGGATGCTAAGGACAGTGTGCAGCACCACTTATTATATGTTTACCTAATACAGCTTTTGTCTTGTTTTACTCTTGCTTACATAAGGACTACAGTCAGTGTGAGTGCATTTTTAAAATACGCCACTTGAGGACATTCAAATAGGATATTTTCCTATTGACGTATACTTGAACTGTCTTGGTGAATGAGCCAAGAAATGGGGGAATACTAACTAACTTTGTGGGTATGAGTTACTTTGATATATAACCTCTTGTTTGCATTAGCTTTCGGCACATATGAGACAGAAATTAGGAATGCGTCATAGACTCTTCAGAACAAAAACACATATTGTTTGGAACAATACGGGTTGTTTGAGACAATAGAAATGTCTAGATACAGTTTCAGGGATAATATGATGAATTTGTGATACCAATTGACCATGGTAAAAACAAATTATGATAATATGTTAAAGGGATAGTTCAGTTTTTTTAAGTGGGTATTTATGGGGTACTTGTCTGGTGGCTAAAATACATTTTGTTGCTAACTCCTATCCACTGTAGTACATCGCTTAGCATCCATGTCGGACCCCAGCCTGCTTCTTCAAACTGGGGGCATGCTGCCTGACGTCTATTGTATGTAATAAACTAACTATGGATAAGTACCCTGTACAGCCTGACTTCAAAAAGTCTGAACTATCCCTTTAATGCATAGTAATTGTTTTTTTTTAACTCCTGTTTTTTCTTCTGTCTTTATCCTACGTTGCCACATCTTTGATGGACCAAATGATCCAAAGACTTTATGTCTCTGAGCTGAATTGAACTCTGACTTCTGTTTTCCATGTTCCTCTGTTGCTGTTGAACATGGATCTCTAGTCTTCACAAAGGGAACTGTTTTATACATTTGACCTCAGAATGATGAACAGCATGTGTTGCTGTTGTATGTGCTAACTTGAAACGTATGTTGGAATCGTGTGCTTCATAATGGCGACTGTCAAAAATACACACCAAAAAAAAAGGGTTATACTGATGGTTACTCTGGAGCTCCATTCTTATCCAGTCTTCATTAGGCCCGGGACTAACGATTAATTGGACCAAATCAAGATTGAAACCATAGAAAGTTGTCACTTTTTTAACACAATTAATTTACCTTAATGTAAATGTAACTGTTTTCTTGTCGTGTTTTTTTGTAGTGCCACAACACTCACACGAAACTTTTCACAAAACACAAATGGCAAGATGCTGAAAAAAGTCATATGCACATAGAGATGGTTATAAAATAACAGTGTCTTGTAATGGGCCAAAAATGGCATGGCACTTACATAAAAATGCATTTATGAATGAATGCACAACTTTTTGGCATCTTCCGTCTTGAGTTGTAGTTAATGGACTGACGCTTGTGTACTAATATCTGTTACTGCGGATGTACTAAACTGCTCATAGGAGTAAATATATGCCAAATGTACTATGTATTTGTATCTTTGTAAATGTAATGCTGCAAGATATTAACAGTATAAAACAATATTTAAAAGATTACTTTAATGCAACACAAACACACTGTGTCTGTACATCCATTCAGATAGTATAAATATTAATGAAACAATGGAGACTTAGTTATACTTAGCTGCAGATTTGCTCCTTAAAGAAAAACTTCATGCAATAATAAAGGGTGAATAAATGTACAAAATATAACAAAATATACATGTATATTGTAGCCTATTTATTACAGTAACCTTGCTATGATATTACACACATTGTCTGGGAAGCGGACCTAGAGTGGAGATATTAAAAAGCCTCTATACAGCAGTAAAAGTCAGTTCATGTCTGTAACAACTTCAGCTTCTGTGCAGATGCAGGAACATGACTACTCCTCCTTTTCACCAAGCCTCTCCTTCTCCCTGCACACTTTTAGATCATGTTTGCTGTCATTTCTGAGGTTTCGTAGCTTTCTTATGAAGAATGATGACATACGTAACCAGTTGGGCACGAGCATTGTTATAGCAGCGTTCTGTAGGATGATGGAAGAGAGAAGGAGAGACAGTAAGACATCATAGTAGGCGAGTGTTTTTAAGTGATCACAGTCTCTTAGCCGTCTGACCTGGAGTGCATGGGACAGGCAGCCATTGGTGTAGCAGGTGTGACCCACAGTGTTCAAGGCCTCACGGGCGAAACTGGGAGCACTCTTCACAAAGCAGTTGGTTTTTAGGTTTTGTGTCATGTTGGTGGACACCATGAATGGGGCCACACACTGTGGAAAAATTGACATATTCAACTTTACATCATAGGCCAACATATTACTGACGGACTCTCAACAAAAACACCTCTGACACTGAACAATGCTTAATCCAGTGTAGGGTATTTCCTTCAGTGAGCAGCAGGGGGCGAAGGTTCATTTCTTAAACTGCATGCTTTCCCAACCAATAAAAGCACACTGATGATTGTAGAAACCTTAAATGTATATCTTTTATACAAGGACGCTGCCTTTGTATATGGGACGCCTGCTCTACCCACTAAGCCACAAACTGCCCAAATGTATTTACTTTTTTTTTTTTTTTTTTTTTTTGATAGCCAAATTTAAGGGATTGAAGCCCAGAGTGCTGAGGCAGAAAAAAATGTGTGGTTTCAGTGATGCTGACTCACCTAGACGTTAATCTCTATTATTGTCAGATGATAGCTGAGGGGCTCCAAGATTGCTTAAAAAATTGTTATTATTCTGGATTAATTCATGACATAAAATTTAAAACCTTAGGCATTTTTACAATTTAAGATCAGTGACTGGATACAACAGTTTTAAAACTGTGTTACAATTGCACATGGCTTGAAATGCCACTATGCTTACTATGTCAAGTGCTCAGAGTGTGGAAAGCTGTTTGCCTGCAGGGTTTCCTGCCTGAAAGGAATTCCTTGGTAAAAGCTGGTCAAAGAGTTGCGGTTTGGATTTGCCCTTCAGGCAAGCTTCTAATTTGTACTAAAAGCTTAATATGTTGGCATTTCATAGTAGGAAAAGCTCAGGTGAAATTGATAACATTAACAATGGCTGAGTAGAAATTAATACACTTGTGCTTTTCCTACTATGACAAGTCAAAATGTCTGCCTTTATAAAAAGTGTATGTATTTTAAAGCCACACACTTCATGGCATGTTTGGACTCATTACCTGTCTCTCTGCAATTTTATTAGCTGTTTGAAGTAGTAACATATTTCTTGTAAAGAAGATAGCTGACAAACTTTGGTCACTGAAAGTGGTTTTCCAGGACAACATGGCTAACTGCTAGCTTGTTGAAGAAGACGCTTTTTTTGTTTCCCTTGTGTGTTACTATCCGGAGGTGATGTACTTGGTCAAGAACAGGCTTTCAGGGTCGAAAGAATTTTTCTGAGAGGATTATGAAACATGAAAGCAGTCAGACAACGCGGTAAAAGTGAGCTTCTTTGAGTTAGCAGCTAACAGTTAGCAAACAGCTAACAGTTAGCCAACAGCTAACAGTTAACAAACAGCTAACAGTTAGCCAAACAGCTAACAGTTCGCAAACAGCTAACAGTTAGCCAACAGCTAACAGTTAGCCAAACTGACAGCGCACACAAACGGGAAATTGAGCAGTTTAAAGGCACATTAAAGAGACCAGGTATGTAACCACACCGATTATCACCTGTGTTAAACTGTGTGTGACTTATCACATTATGTTCAGTTGTAACAATGTGTTAGCTTATGGTTTTAAATCTCTCCAAAGTGTTTCCACACCATTTTCCACCTGATAACACTGACCCTGGCAAAAATCGCGCGATATCAGGCCACCTGAGTCTGTTACTGAGTCTTTCTTCCTGCATAACAAGCCAGTGCAGTTTGATAAATCCAACATCTTTCCAGTCATTTTCAGTCAAGAGTCAATTTGTCTTAATTCCAGAGTGCTCTGCATTGTTTTTATTAAATTGATATATGTAGACTTGTCTTGTAGTAAGTTTAGTTTTGGTTGAGATCATATCTTTTTGAAGAAAATAAGACTTTTGAGGCTAAATAATAGATGATTGTTGTATTAACTTAGTAATAAGTACATGTGAATGACCTAAGGGACTGTTCTTGACTTAAAAGTGGAGTTGTTTTTGAAGCAGTGTTAATTTTTTTAATGGAAAATATGACAAAAACATGTTTGTCAATTACCTGTGTTTTCATGACAAAGACAAGACGTCGACAGGCTGAAAATAGATCTTTCATGATAAAAACTATGAGGAACTGTATAATTTGGTTTCACTGACGAGATGAGATGGGACCAAAATGTTAGTGAAGAGCAATATGACATTCAAAATGAGAGGAGAGGAGCACAGAATGATAAATTATTCTATGAAATGTATGAGAAAAATGTCTTAAACTGGAAGCTGAGAATGGCTGTGCGCCTGATGACGTACAGTATGAGCAGTATGACATCTCAGCACCAGTTATAGGCGCCAGGGTGTTTTGCTTGACTTCAAAACAGTCACACCAGAGCATCAGTGTTTTGATTGTAATTATGTAGTTAATAAGCAGCAAAGGTATCTGACTGGGGACAGTGAAGTTGTTGAATGGATTTGTATAGTTTGTTAACTGTTGGAAATTTTAAAATCTGACGATAATTTCTGTTTTTACAGTTCCTGGCTGTGATAGGAGGTGTAGTTTTGGTGATTTTAGAAGAAAGCATGTCTTTTAAACCCACCTGCAGGTTTTGAGGTTCAGGTAGTATTTAGAATAAATACAAAATACAGCAGTTTAAAGTTGTATGTCCCTCCCTTAAGCCAAAATAAAAACATTAATTTCTCCCTGGTGCTCAAAAGATTGTTTAACATGCCTCCACTGTTTTGCACCACCCCTAAGTGTAACATACTTTACCTGAACAGTGATTCCCTTTGACTTGTACTCAGCATGCAGACACTGAGAGAAATACGTTACAAAGATCTGAAAAAGAAGAAAGGTAAAGTCAAGAAAAACAAGCTGAGCAGTGATTGTTATGAAATTGTGTGCTCATTAGTGAATATGTCAGTGTATAAGTATAAGAATATCTAGGCAAGATGCTACCTTAGAGGAAGAATAAAGGGTCAGTAAAGGCTGTGGACGGACAGCCACTTCAGAGGAGATGTTGATGATCAGCCCTGTCCCTCTGGGAAAGAGATGGAAGACAAAAATTCACAAATTGATCCTCTATTCGCATTACATTTTATTAACCATCAACTTCTAGATTTTTGTGACAATACCTTTCAACCATGGCCGGAAGAATCAGTCTGGTCATCTGAGTGAGGAAAATACAAATCACCATTATCTTTTTTTTATCCAGCGATGGGCATTAACAAAAACCAAAGCTGTGCGTAGATACAGTGGAGAAGTGACTGCATAAACATATAGCAAATACAGTAACTAATCAAATAGATGTCCTACCTGAGGGACTGACAGCATGTTGCAGTTGATAAGCTGAGTGATTTTCTAGTCAGAATAAACACAGAAGGGAAACATTGTAAGTTATAAAGTAGAGACAAACATGACTTCTAACAGCCTGAATTAATATTTGATTGTCTTTAAAAAGGGACACGCAGGGTGCAAAAGTTACCTGTTCAGCATTTGGTATTTCCAGGAAATAGGCAAAATTATCAGAGTAGATCATTCCTACATTATTAACTGTGTGGGTGACAGAAACACAAACAACCTTGGTTATTAAGCATTTGTCCTGTCAGTCTATAACTACTGAATCTGTTTCTTTCCCTTTGACTATTTGGCCTGACAGAATGAACACAGTTTGCATCACTCATTCTGGTCCAGCAATGCAGCTCTCAGGCAGCTAAATCAAACTTCGACAGGTAAGAAAAAAAATAATGGATGAGGTGGATCAGCCACAAAAGGAATAGTTGAAATTACACTCTTATTCACTTTCTTTAGTTGGCCAGATGAGAAGATTGATATCACTCTCATGTCTGTATGATAATTATGACAGACTGGAGTGGTTTTCCAAAGGTAACAAATCAACCTCCCAGCTCCTCTAATGCTCATGGGGGTATGCAGGTCTATTTCAGAGCCAGCAGCAAATATGTGAGCTCAACTTTATTGTCATTTCCACATACAGAGTACATGGGAATGAAATTGCGCTTTTTCAGGGGGTGGGGGTGAACCCATAGGATGTGTGTGTGTGCAATATTTATGAATTTATAAAGCATCTGAGAAACTGTCTTGTGCTGTAACTGGTTGTGCTATTACCCAGAATCCCAATCTCCAGTCCTTGTAGTTCTTTGGCTATAGCAGGGTAAATACTTGGGCCGTCTGTGAAGTCCACTTTGATGGTGCGAGTCTTTCGTCCATACCTATCCTCTATTGGAGACAGAATATTTTGGATTATTAGTAGCAGATGGACATACAAATGTGTTTAGTGTAGCAGGGAAAGAGTAGTCAAACCACAAGTTTGTTCTCATTTCACTCACCTATCTCCTTGGCAGTCATTCGTAGCTTATCATCAGATCTGCTTACCAAAATAACATCTAGGCCTCTTCTTGCAAGCTAGAAAGAGACATGCAAGACAGACAGGTTTGGTGGCTCTTTCAACCAGCAACACTATGCACAGGTGAGATCTGACACACATGATCTAAAACAGCTCAACCAACTGTTGCAAGCTCCTAACTTGACATTTGGATCCAAAAATAGTAAGACATTGTTGTAGAAAGGAGTTGGAGACTCACCTCGTTGGCATAAGCTTTACCAATGCCAGATGTGGCACCAGTGACAACTGCATAAAGGAAAAAGCACAGAGATGTCAGGAATTAATTTTACAGCCATTTCAGAATTATTAAAACCTTTGTCCATTTGTTTCACACTGTTACGAAGTCATGGCAGAAGATGTGGGTCTGACTACCAAGACAGTACAATCCACTTTACCCTGAGATTGTGAAAAATGAAGTTTGAAAACTGAATATTACACCAGTGTTGCAATGGTATGAGATTTTCACCAGTCAGAATGACCCTTAAAGGAATGACAACAGAAGGTGTATTGTTGGTTGAACTAACATTTTATCATGGACCTGTATTTGTAAAGCGCCTTCGAGTCATCCGACCACTCAAAACACTTTTTATATTACAAGTCACATTCACACACTGGTGGCCGAGGCTACCATACAAGGTGCCACCTGCTACTCAGTGTTTAACACACTCACACACCGATGGAAGCATCATCGAAAGCAGTTTGGGGTTCAGTATCTTGCTCAAGGATATTTGACATGCAGACTGGAGGAGCTGGGGATCGAACCACTGAAACCACTTGTAGTTGTTACTGGAAGTACGTGTATCAGAAAACAACTTTTGTTGCATTTTTAACATATCGTAGATAAGCAAATGTACCCAGTATGATAACTGACAACTTTTACATCACGGCATACCTTGAAACCGTTATATCGCTGCAACCCTATATGACACCTGCCACAAGTAGCTACCTCCCTGTCTGTCTGAAGTATGTTGTTCTTATATCAGGCAATAAAACATAACCATTTGAACTTTTGACACAGTTACCACAATCAAGTCAGCTTAGTTACTCTTAAACCAGCTCTGTAAAAATTCAAACATATTTTCTGGACCCTGAGATCAAAGCAGCTAAATGAAAACAATTAGTTTAATTATTTACACCAGTGCCTATCCAACCATGACAAGTCAAAATGTCTCTGTGAAAAAGGCTTGCTGTGGACTCCACATGTCAGTGGTAGGATTTTAGAGTGAGGCAATAGGGAGAGGAAGTGGTGGAAAGTGTCCTTAAATACCCCCTGTTGCTTTGCCAGAGAAAACGCTCCCTGCCACTGTTATGTGGGCAAGATTCAGGTCACACAGAAACCCAAGACGTAAAGCCCTGTTTCTTTTCATCCACTTGTGTGTATACTGTTTGGACCCCAGATTATTGTTCTTGTCACCAGAAAAGGTGTCATAAGTGAGAAAAAACTGCACAAACTTTAAAGAAAGATGGAAAACTGACTTGAAGTCATTGCAGGTCTGCAGAGGATTGAAATGTTTGCCCGCAGAAAGACAGAAATGAGTTGTTTACAGCATGTAATATGACCTACACCATTCACCTGTTTCACAACTGAACTGATTTAGTCAGTGAAAGGTACATTAGTAATAATTTCCTTTATACATGACCAAGAAAGGACAAATAAAATGAACCTTAAACCTGACTGTCAGCATTTTGTTCAGACATAAAAAAGATTAGTAGAGAACATAGAGTACATTTTCTTTGACCTTACCTGCCCATTGCCCGTATGTCCTTAAATCCACTTGCCAAAGCTCTGACAGAAAAAACTGTCTGAATCCACACCAACATCCCCAGGCTAGTTTGAGCATGTAGAAAATGACAGTAAATCCTCCAAAGATGGCCAGCACCTCAGTGAATGACATTTTGTCGCAGAGCTCTGGACTGAACAGGATTGCCTTGATGGATAGAGGTTTGAAAGGCGGTTAATCCAAATTTAATATTATAGGAAATGAGAACTTTTTTTTTATGTACTGTACTCCTCCCTGTTCCCACAGTGCTCCACCCCTCATTGTGTGCTGCTGGTAGACACTATGTGCTTGGCAGACAAATACCCTGGAGCCACACGATGCGTTCCAACTCCCCGCAAACTGAACTGAAGAACTGTTTCAATTTTTTTTAAATTGCCATTCAAAGATGCAACATAATTTTCTGTCCACAAATCTTGTAACAACAGCCACCTCAGCTGCTCCCAGCATCTGAATATTATCCCCAGCATCCTGAAGATCATCAGGATCATCTAAGAACTTTGTACTTTATGTATTTAGTTTTCAAGCCTTTAGGTCAGCACAGGTACAGTGTTTGAGTACGTTAGTAGATTGGCTAATAATTGTGCTTTTCTGGTTGCAGGCTATTTCACAATTGGAAGAATATTGAATAATAAATCAACTAAAACTTCCAGTCATAATTAGATGTAAATTTGGATGATACAAGAACAAGTGCGATTTCGCAACAATTGCAACAGCACACGCAAGCAACCGCATGTTCATGCATTCACACATACACAATCGCACACACTTGTCATTAGTCCAATGATGCCTCCCTATGATAACCGGTTCATGAGCTATGAAAGATGTGGCAACAATGGTGTGTGTATTTCTTTGTGTGTGAGAGTGCGTGTTTGTGTGTGTCTCTACAAAGTTTGGTCATCTTACATGAATCCATTTTGAGCCAATTGGCATGACCACAAACAAACATCCTCACACACACAAAAGAAAATCTAATAAGGGCATAAGTCTGTTAAAAACCTTTGTGTAGAGTTGGAGTTTGAGGGCTTTTTCTCAGGTGTTCTGAACAGTAGTTGTAACATTCACGACCTGCTTGTCTCCTTCAGCGTATCCTACAAACTTAAAGCAGTGTTATTGAAATTAAATGAGCAGATAAGAGCTTTTTATTGGCATGATGAGCTCCTCCAATATTCTTGAATGCAAACGAGACATTTACTAGGGATACTCCAGCAATTTATTTCACTTCAGTAAAGTTGGGCAACTCAAAAGATAAGTTTAAAACAAAAAAGAATGTTGCATTTCATGTTTTAGCTCCTACTCTGGGTTGAACCCCCAAATCACTAGATCCTCCTACACTCCCCATCATGCAACCTGACAGTATCTTTTGTTAAACCTGTCATGCCTGATAAATTCCCCCATCTGTCAAACTGTATGCCCTCACTTTGTCACACAGACCTCTTGTTATACTATACTAATCTCCAAGCCCAAGCTGATATAACTCGGATGACATCACCATGACATCAATATTATTTTCTCAGATTTTGGAGAGCTCCTTCAAGAACCATGGAAGACATTATAAAACTGTTTCCACATCCTGAGAGAGTGCCGTGGGGCCATTATTTTAGCAGAGCTATTTGCAAATGTGTGTGGAAGGTTGTAACTGCATCTCAGTCCGTGTGTGATTTGTATGTGTGTAAAAGAAAATCTCTAAATGCTACTGAGATCTGCATCGTCAAATCTGTAAATTTACATGGATATTAATCTCTGAAAATTGTGAGTGTTTTGCTCCAAGAGCTGGAAATACAAACAAGTCATCAGTTAAAACTCAGACAGGCCTTCCTACATGTGACTTTTGCTACCCGTGACAGAGATCCACAAATGACACTGCTGGGCTGGGTAGTGGTTATGGCCAGAGACATAAAGGAGGCATGTTCAAAGTCCAGCCCGGGGTCCAGTTTTATTGTTCAAAATATACTCTATGTGGGCCGCCCAACACACATTATTGGTTCATCACGCAAGATCACTTTGCATTTTTCTGTTCACCTCATGACAGTTACACAGTTTGTAGACATACACCAAGCAGGAACTACAAGGGCGGAACCAATGTGGTCTCATAAACAGAGCAAACAAGCAAACGCACGGCTACCTAACAGCAGACGTGTCCTGCTAGGTAGCAGACATGGCCGCAGCAGTGTGTTTGTAGTTTATCAGGCCTTTCTTATTGCAGTGACAAACAGATGGTGAGATGATGGTGAAGAAAAAGACTCCGCTGATACAGACTTGTTTCGGATCAAGAGAACTTTACAGTGGTGGAAAAAAGTTTTCGGACACCCCATGCATTTGTGAAATATTGCATTAAGAATCACTCTTAGGTCTTCAAGTGCAATTTCTTTTAGTACAGTCACAGCCAAAATACTAAATAAATCCTAAAAAGCCATTAAAAACTTAAAATTGATTGGTTCCATAAAAATACATAAGACATTTTGAGTATTGGGTCATTTTGGTACCAGTGATGAAGGTCGTTCTTTTTATTAAAAGACACAATTTTTGTTGCCAAGCTTCGTGTCTACATAAAGCCAGCACATTTGAAAGTTCTTCAGACACAAAAATGGCTAAAACAAGGAACCTAACGCAGGAAACACGCCTGAAGATAAAGATTCTCAGCCAGGAAGGATACAGCTGCTGCCAGATAGCCAGGAAGTGCAACTGCAGCAGCAGTTGGATACACTCTGCAGAAATACAGATGAACCACAGCTTGGAAGACAAACCAAGATCTGGGCGTCCAAGGGTTTCTTCAGCAAGAAATGACCGCATCCTGATCCGCATGTGCAGGCAAAACTGCCGAATGACATCACAGGAGCTTCAGCAGCAGTGGTCAAACCAAACTGGTGTCCAGTGTTCCACCCGCACTGTACGTGGCCGACTTTTAGATCATGGCTTAAGGTCCTACAAGGCTATCAAGAAGCCCCTGATCAATGAGAGACAGAGGTTAGCCCGGCGTCGTTGGGCCCAGGCACACAAGAACTGGACAGCCAGGAACTGGAAGAAGATTTTGTGGTCAGATGAGTCCAGTTTCCAGCTTTATCTTCCTCCTACTAATGTGAGGGTACGCAGAAGGCCAGGCGAAGCATTATCTCCAGCATGTACAGTACCTACTGTCAAGCATGGTGGAGGCAGTATCATGGTTTGGGGATGCATGAGTGCTGCTGGTGTTGGTCATCTCACTGTCTGTGATGGCACATTGAACTCTACCAAGTATTGTACCATTCTCGAAACCCACATGCTCCCTTCTGCGCGTGCACTGTTCCGTCGAGGTAAAAACTGGATGTTTCAACAAGATAATGCCCCTTGCCACACATCCAAGGCCAGTAGAACTTGGCTGCAGGAGCACAGTATCCAGGTCTTAGAGTGGCCAGCTCAATCCCCGGACATGAGCCCCATTGAAAATCTGTGGTGGATTATCAAAAGGTCTGTTTCAAAGCATAAACCAGAGAAATAGTGAAGTAGTGAAGTAATTCAAGAAGAATGGGACAAGATTACCCCTCAACAGTGTGAAAGGCTCGTGGGGAACATGCCAGTCAGGATTAGAGCTCTACTACGTGCCAATGGCAGGACTACTAAATATTAATTTGATGATGTGATGGTTTATTTATTTTTTGTTCAGTTTTGAACACATTCTCTGTTATTTGTTGACTTTGATACTGACAATGTTGAGAACTGACATATTGAAACTGTCAAGAATTTAGTTTTGTTAGTTTTTCTTGTAAACAATAAACAAAAAAATATAATTTGTATTTGTTTATATCTGTCTAATGCAGCCACACCTTTTGAAACACAAAAAAGATTTTTCCACAGATATTTCATGATAATATTTGAGATTGTGTAAAATTTTAAGGGTGTCCGAAAACTTTTTTCCACCACTGTATTAGCAAGCCAGTATCAGATCAGGCTTCTGCAGTAGCCTGGGAGAGATTCAGCCAATCATCGAAACTCTCAGCCGTTGTCCACGCATACTCCATGTTTTATAGCCTGCCAGACATCCTCATTCATATTCATAGGGCTGTGCAATATGACGATATATATCGTGTGACGAGAGAAAAATGTCTATCGTTTCATATTTTGCTCTATCGTTTATATTGTTGTGACACAAATTACACTTTTTACGGCAATATTTTTCATCATTTGGAGTCTGTCCATCTTTTGCACGGATCACATTGATAAATTACTCTTCTTGGCTTTTTAATTCGCGAAGCTTTTACTGCACTTACGGTCACATAATGAGTTTATATAACTCCGCTGTCTGTCTCTGCTGCACTGCACAGGGCAGCCCCGCAGCACTGAGAAAGAGCAGACAAGCAAGACAGCGACAATAAATGACAATTAAAATGTGCTATATCGTGATATGTATTGTTATCGGGATATGAAATGACCTATATCGTGATATGAGATTTTGGTCATATCGCCCAGCCCTACATATTCATAATATCAGCTCATTTCTGATAACATAATGAGATACATCCTCCTAACCAAAAGTGGTCATTCCTTTCTCCAGTTTCAGAAGGTTCTTTGTCCGTGCAAAACAGACTGATGTATACATTCCTTTAGTTTCTCCACGTAGCTTTCTAGACATAAATTCTACATGCATAAACACAACATGACAGTGGCGCCTTACTGCTTCTTGGCAAGCCACCCGTGAATCTATACAACATGAGGCACAAACCCCTCAAGATGTTCCTTACGAGAAGCAACGCAGTTAGCCTTCACGTATGTGCCATGCAGTTACCATATATTTATGTATCCTGCAGATGACCCCTTGTATCCTGACAGACTCATGGATTCCTGTTTGCATCTGTAGAACTGTAGGCTACAGCACAGCTAGAATGATGGATTCATCCTTACAGTAAAAAAACAACGGGAGTCTGGGTGGACAGCAGTCTCTAAAAGCATCCAAAAACAATCAGCGTTAATGTACATCTGATGAGCAGACACCTCATGTTTATTATCTGTGTAAAGTCAGCAGTGAGGGCTGCTGCTTTGTGGAAAGTTGAGTACTTTCTCACTCATGGATCAAACAGTTGAGGTTGTCTCATTTGTTTGTCTTTTTTTTAATCAGCCCACATGATGTGAGAAGCATCTGCACCCATATTCTGCATTATCTGATCTGGCTCCCATTCATAAAAGTTTGGACATCC